AGTTGCATTGATTGAATATTTTAGTAATAGTCATGAAAGAAAATAAATTAGTTACCCAAAGTCATAAAACTAGTCATAGACAGAGTCAAGATAGTTATTCTTAGTTTACCTTAGTTATCCAACCCTTGAAGGTTTGACATAAAGTAACATATACATGTTCATATATCAATGTGTAGTACGTAGGACGGGGATTCAAGAAGTTTGTATAAATGGAATAGAAAGATAATGGAATTTTTCTATGAACTTTTTGAAGCTGTATACAAATGTCTGTGTGTTTGTGTGTTCTGAAATGAGTGAGATGCTTAGGAATAAAACAGACATTACCATTTTCAGATTTAAAAGTATCTCATGGTAGTTTGTGGTCTTTTGCCTTCTTCCTTCATTAAACCTGTCTCCAGTTGCCTTTTCTTTACTCTTTCCCCATCATCTTTCTCAGGGCTCCTTTCATATCTTTATTTCGTAAAGTGTAGATGAAAGGATTTAGAGTTGGCGTGACAACTCCATAGAATAAGGCCATGAACTTGTCCTGGTCCTGGGAGGTGGTAGAATGAGGCTTCAGATACATAGCAATAGCAGTGCCGTAGAAAAGGAATACCACAACTAAGTGGGAAGAGCAAGTCCCCAGAGCTTTTTGGCGTCCTTCAGATGCCCTGATCTTGCACACCGCTTGTGCAATGAAGCCATAGGAAATAAGAATAAGAGAGAGGGGTACCAGGAGTAAAACTGCACTAACCAAGAAAAGCTCCATCTGATTGGCAGTTGTATCCACACAGGAGAGTTTGAGGAGAACTGGCACTTCACAGAAGACATGGTCTATGATGTTCCGTCCACACAAGGGTACCTGAATGATAAGCACAGTTTGCACCAATGAACTGACCAAACCAGTCAGCCAAGTCATGGCCACCAGTTGCAAACAAAAGCGCGGATGCATGATAATGGCATAGTGCAGAGGCCGGCACACAGCAGCATAGCGGTCAACAGCCATAACTGCAAGAAGGATGCACTCCGTAGAGCCCATTGACAAGGCTACATAGAGTTGCCCAACACAACCACCATAAGTGATCTTCTTCTCTGGGCCCCTCAAGTTAAACAACAGCTGGGGCACTGTACTTGTAGTGTAGCAGAGGTCCATGAAAGACAAGTGACTAAGGAAAAAGTACATAGGGGTGTGGAGTCTGGAATCCAGACAAGCCAAAATAATTATGGTCATATTGCCAAGCAGGGTCAGCAAGTAGAAAATCACAATGATCACAAAAAGGGTCATCTCCAGTAAAGGATGACCAGAGAAGCCAAGCAGAAAAAATCCACTGAAAAAGCTGATATTTAGGTTTACCATTATTTTTCATTGCATTTCTGCCAAGAGAGAAACATATTGTCACAAATGGATTCTTGAGATGAACAGAAATGTATACTTTCAACATTTTTCATTTTTTTCATACTAAAGAGATAATAAGAACATATTTCTGAGATTTTTTTAAATTCTTGAAGTGTAAATAATTGTTAACAAATTTACATTCTCACCCTGCTTTCATGACCCACCAGCACTATATTCTACTGCTTTCCTCAGTGTTTTTCTTTCACTCATCTTTTACATCCACAGTATATATAACTGCCACATCTCTATTTCTTTACCTCTGCTTCCAAACATCCATATGTCTTCCCTATGTGATAATTAACAATGCCCTTAGATTTCATTTGGCCCTGTTCTTTTCTGTACTTCCTGTTCACCCATTCTAAATGAGGCTGTAAAGTTATATAAGTTCCAAGGAGCACTCTGTGCTTTTAACCAAAGTCATGGTATTTTCAATAGTTCATGTGCATGTGAAAGTTGGGCATTGAATCAAGAAGCACAAAGAAGAATCAATGCATTTGAATCTGGTGCTGGTGAAGAATATTGAAAATACCATGGACTGCCAAAAGAACCAAAAGTTCTGTGAAGGAAGAAGTACAAATAAATGCTCCTTAGAAGCAAGGATGATGGGACATCATCTCATGTCCTTTGGACATGTAGTTGGAGATAACATAATGCTTGGAAAGTAGAAGGACAATGAAAATGAGGAAGACTAGACTAGATGGATTTGCATAGTGGCTGCAACAATGAGCTTAAATATAACAACAATTGTGCGGATCATGTCAGACCAACCAGTAGTGTTCAATTCAGTTGCCCATAGGGTCACTATGAGTTGGAACTGACATGACAGCACCTATCCACTACATACAATCTGAAGGGTACAGTGGTACATTTTTCCATCAGTCCATTTTTGTTCATTATCTATGTAGACGAATTTTCATTTTGAGCCATATTCTAAATGTGATTTCTATTCACTTGATCTCCTGAAACAGAACTCATAAAACTGACAAGGATCTCTGCACAATAAATCCAGTAAACTGGTCTCACTATCAGTATGTTTCATGACTGTTAGCAATAAATTAGGCTAGATACTGTTATTCTTTAAACTCTATCCATTATGAAATTCTAAGCACTTTTGTTATCCCTCTACTGCGGTATCTTTCACATATCAAATTTCACACTCCTTCTTCCTTCCCCTTGGAATAATATTTCAGTTTTTGATATTCTATTCTTTTTAGCAATACTGATGAACTTTCTCATCAGTCACATCTTCTATTAACTATTTGCTGATAACACCACATCTTCATCTCTAGCTGTACCAATTTTGACACTGTGAATATGTTTCTAGTATGTGTCTGTGTAAATATGTGCATTCAACAGTGAGTATACAAGCTGTGGTGATGAACTCTTACCATAATAATACCTTCTTTTTTTTTTTTCAGGAACCTTGGTTGAAAATGGAACATCATATTCAACTTCATTCTTTACCTCCTCTATCTCTAATTGTCCTGTCTCACTACCATCACTTTCATGTAGATCCTAGTAATACTTCAAAATGTCAGTTGATTAGCATTTTCTCCGTTGATAAAATGTTTAGGTAAAAGTGGGTTTCAGCATGCCTTGCTCTGAAAGTTTCTGTGTTGTAATGTGTGTTTAAGTCTGTAAAAAGCAACTTATATTTGTCACACACTAACTTCTATATTAAATATTTACATACATTCCTGTTAGCTGTGCCAAACATAATACAAGCATCTTTAAGAAAGGAGAAACTAATGAATTTTCAGACTCCTTAGCGGATTTTATACTTGAGTATAAGATAGAAATTTGACTGAGGTATGTATTAGTTGCATAATTAAATCTTCCCAAACTAAATGCCTTTGTCCATTATTTCCTCTCTCACTTCTCTGCTTTTCTTTTTCTAAAAGCTCTTTCTTGCAACTCACTTTTGCACAGTAGCCTCTCTTATCATCTCTAATTAGACAAATCAATCCCACACACACACTTCATATTTGACATCCATTCTCACATTTTCCCTATTATTAGTTAATTCTAAAAATTAAATTAAAAATGATATCATTTGTTTTTCAAAATTTCAAAATAAAAGTTACACTAACTAGACCTAAGGAAATCTGCTGGGTGTTGTTTCAGCTTAAAAGTGGCAGGACTCTCAGAAGGTTGACAGTACCCTCCACGATCTGGTCTCCCACGTGCCCACAGAGCTGCTCGGTGGGTGGAACAACATAAAGACTGTTGTCTTCACATTTTTCTGACTGCACTGTGTGAAACTAGATATCAGGAAAGACATTTACCTTAAGATTATTTTGCTTCTGAATTTTCCCAAATGCTTTCATTTCCAAGCTTCTTATTGGCAAGAGAAATGTATACAACAGCACGATGTAGACTCCAATAAATAGATAGTGTTTGGCTACTGTAAAAATTAGTTATGCTAATCAATGAACATCAGGCTTATTATCGTTTTTGAATAATGTTTTCAATAAATTGATTAATGGTTCCCAAATTTTAATCTTATTATAAATTAGATGCATAGTTTTGTTTTTCTATAATTCATATTCATTGTTTAAGAGGAGAGAATTGCAATGTTGATATTTTGTCCAAATAGCATTGTTTCAAGATAGTATTTCTTCCATGCAATTTACTAAAGAGATTGGTAATTTTGCCTCATTAGATGAATAATTAACTTAATCAATTTTAAGAAATGAAATATGTATGTATCTGCCAGAAAACTAAACAGATAAACAGAAATTTTATTCATCTTTGACTAATGGATTAATAGTAGAATGGTTTAATGCTTTATTTATTTATCATATAAGTGTTTGAGTCTCTCCTCATGAGATTTACGGACATTACACATGGAGAGAAAATATGGTCACTGTGGAGAGAAGAACTAATGTCCTTTACCTGAGGTTCAAAAGCAGACACCAGGAAAGGGCAAATGCTTATGCTTCTAAAAAGAAGAGAGTCTTGTTTTTGACATAAAATAATGAGAGAGTCACAAAGAGACATCTATGTTATGTTTACTTGGCTGAGGTCACAAGGGCAAAGAATCCCAAGGAAGTAATTACTACCTGTGTTCACCAGTGTGCAGTTAGCTAGGAATTACTTAGGGAATATGAATTATGGTTACTTAAAATAGTATTTAATTTTATTTTAGAAATTTAACAATGGACTGAAACAATAAGAGGTGGCACAGATGCTACAAACAGCAGATAAGTATTTTGATGGGTTGGTAATGACATTTTAATTTATACAATTCAAGAAAACCAACTGAAAATCTATTACAAATATTCACACTCTTCAGTAAAGTGGTTAACCAGGAAATAAATATATAAAATCTAATAGTGAATGCTTAATTAAAAAATTTAAATTTAAACAATCCAGACAATCAATAATAAACTATATGAAGAAAGTACAAAACTAAACAACACAAGTGTAATATATTAAACAATTAAAACATAATTTGATAATTTTTACTAGAATGTGAATGTAAAGTATAAGAATTTTTGATATTGATTGCTTCTAAATGAATTTACAAATCATGTAATATACCATAAAGATCCTTAGTTACCTCACAGCTTATGATGATTTCTAAAAAATAATTTTGAAGTTCATTACAGCACAGTTTATACAAAAGAATTTTTATAATCTAATATTATTAAAAATTATTTTGATATTGTTACAATGTTTTAAAAGTTATGTTAGACAAAAAAGAAAACTCTTTCTAATTACCACATAGAACACCAAACAGACACAAATGATTTCATTCTTAAGGCATGGAGCAATGACTTACTTGATATGCCACTTACATCCACAGTTTTTCCAACTCTCACCAAATGATGGATAGCACCATGCAAGCAGAGTGCATAAAAAAACAAGGTGGAATATTCACAGTTTTGCCATTCAACTGGGCTTAAATTAACCCACCTCAAAGAAAAGTAGAGGATTTCACTACCATTGAGAATGAAAAGCCAAACTTTTGACCTAGTTTCTTTTTTCCTTATTTTTAAAAATTATTTTATTGGGGGCTTGGACAACTCTTACCATAATCAATATATATATCCGTTTTTTCCAGCACATTTGTACATTTGCTGTCATC